CCACAACAGCAACGACTACCACAACGAGTTCAGGAGGTAATGTGGAGCTTTGGGGATGGGAAGGAAAGGTCCTGGATTTTTAGTGTAAAGTAATGTGAAATAATTCAGAAGTGAGGTTCATCCCCAAAGCATTTGAATCACCCTTAAAATAAGTTCTATATACACTAACATTAGAAAGTCGCCCAAAAGAAATCCTACCAGGTGGATGAAAAGATACCCTTGCTTACACTAAACATCAGTGCTATAGTTGCCAAGATCATATTCCATTTAGTTTATTCTAAGGGAGAGATTATTCCTGGTTTGTATATAGTGTTATTTTCTAAAGACTTAGAGAATGATTTGCTTGCCATGTTTTCCCATTAAGTGTTATAAAATACATGTAATGTCAAAGCCATCTAGATCTCAGTAGTTATTATGCATCCAAAGAAATGAAACCTTGACAGATTTAAAATCTTGTATCTAGAGGGAGAGGTGAGCAGAGTTTGAATTCATCTCCTTACTGGTCAGTAGCCGCATTGCCATTGTCCTTGTTCTGACTATGCAGCAAAACCTATAGCTTGGTAGACCCAGAGATTACGTAATGGTTTCTCTATATTCTTTTTTTTCTTTTTTTTTTTAAAGGGGTTTTTGCTATAGGGCGCGTGTGCTCGCCAGACAGAGAGAGGCAGAGAGACAGAAAGCGAGAAATCATCCCCCAGGGGGATGGCCATACTGCAATCCCTTCTCTTCCATTCTCCTCTCGGGATCTTGAGCATGCATGCACACATGCCCAGCGTGAGTTTTAAGCCACCGGGTCCGGGACACGAACCACGGTCGACATAGCCATTACGCTAACTGCTGGTCCTGGTTTCTCTATATTCTTTCTTGTGTATTTTGATAAAATAAGGTAAGCTGTTAATTTGGAAGAGGCCATTCTTCCATCCATTTCCTAGCTCTAGTTATGGTAGATAGCTCTGGTTGACAGAAGTCCTTTAGTGCTTTGTGTACAGTCTTCCAGAGCACAGGCTTCTTGTTGTTGAGATTCAGCATGGTGGTCAAAAGAGGAAACCACAGCTCTGGTTCAGGTTTGGGGCACTGTCCCATTCAGCAATTGTTAGATAACTTAGTCTCTAAGACTCATTTTCTTTATCTGTGAAGCTTGTGTTATGCATAGACTAATAAATATATATTATATTCATGTTATTTTGAATGATTGCCTTCCTGAATAATTTAGTAAATGGCAGCATACAATTAAAAACTCTCATTACTCATTAGTAACCTCAAAAAAAAACCATAATTTACTTTCATAAAGCGTAACCAGACCAGCATACTCAGAAGTCACAGATTCCATATTTATGCCATATTTGGTGTTATCGTTATCATAAAGGGATCCTAGACTAAAAAGTTCTAAGAGTATTAGTACTAGATTGTCTTGCAGTTTACAAGTTCTTAGGTCAAGTTCTTATAGATCACGTGTATTTGAAATTTAATGGTAATGGGGCCAGCAGGTGGTGTGGTGGTTAAGGGCTCTGGATTCCTACATGACTGACTGCAATTTGAGTCCTGGACCTGGCAGCTTGCTTTCTCACTTTCCATCTCTCTATTTCTCTTTCTCTGTTCCTGTCTGGTCAAATTAAAATAAAATAAATGCAGTTAAATAAAATAATTATTTTTTTAAAAAAAAGAACAAACGTAATGGTAATAACTAAGTCTTTCTAATAATAGTTTTCTTTCTAATTGTAAGTAAGTTTCTATTAAAACTCTTCCTACTCTGTAAACTTGAATTCTTTTTTTTCCTGAAGAGGTTTTTTGTTATTGTTTTTGTTGTTGGGTTTTGATTTTGTTTTGTTTTGTTTTTCTTTTTTTTTGCTATAGGGTGCTTGTGCTCGCCAGAAAGACAGAGACAGAGAGACAGAAAGCCACCAGGTCCAGTACTCGGAACCACAGTCAACTATATGGGAATCCAACGACATAGCCATTATACCAACTGCTGGTCCCTGTAAAACTGAATTTAAGTGTTATATAGCTTTTTATCACTTCTTTGGTTTATCACTTCTCAGAAATTTAAGCTCAAATTATGTTCTGTGAGAGTTTTTGGCTGCATTATAAAGCAGTTACTTTTATTAAGTACTTGCTAGTGTTTGCTATCTAAATGTTTGATTTATCCAACTTTCTGCATATGTATTTACTGTTCTTATTTTAAAATGTTGATGTGTATTGTAGGACACCCCCTTGAATTTTTACGAAATCAGCCTCAGTTTCAGCAGATGCGACAAATTATTCAACAAAATCCTTCCCTGCTTCCAGCATTGTTACAACAGATAGGCCGAGAGAATCCTCAGTTATTACAGGTAACTATTACTCGGTTTTAATTTTGAAAGTGGGATTAAAAGTGTATCACATTTTGGAAAAGTCCATGAGCATTTTCCCCCCCTCTGTGAACTCTGTTTGAGAATGATTAAACCATTGTTCTAAGTTATACTCAGATTATTATGCACTAGATAGGTATACTGAGAAAAGAGTTGGGAGTAGAAATTGAATTAATTTAAATTAGTCACATAATAAATTTAGGGAGCATTTCATATTTCCTTCTTGGAAATTCCCAGTGCACATTAACATTAAAAAAATCTAAGAAGCTATTTAATAAATTGCTTAACTTTTTAAATCACTTTGTAAGCTCATGATTGGTACCTTTAGAAAACATAGCTGTGAGCTTATTTAATATTCAGATTACTAAGTATTTGTTTTTGTTTTTTTTTTTTTTTTGCTATAGGGCGCGTGCGCTCTCCAGACAGAGAGAGACATAGAGACAGAAAGCAAGAAATCACCCCCCAGGGGGGATGGTCATGCCGCAATCCCTTCTCCTCCATTCTCCTCTTGGGATCTTGGGCACGTACGCACACGCGCCTGGCATGAGTTTTGAGCCACCGGGTCTGGGACGCGAACCACGGTCGACTATGTGGGAATCCAGCGACATAGCCATTACGCTAACTGCTGGTTCCCAGTATTTGGGTTTTGAAACAGCATTGTACTGCTAGTGTGGAAGTTTAAAAAATAAGAAAAAGTTCTCTCTTCATACAGTCAACATTGGTTTTTTTGTTTTGTTTTTTAAAAAGGTTTTTACTATAGGGTGCGTGCACTCGCCAGCCAGAGAGAGACAGAGAGATAGAAAGTTAGAAATCACGCCCCAGAGGGGATGGCCACGCCGCAATCCCTTCTCCTCCATTCTCCTCTCGGGATCTTGGGCACGTACGCACACACTCCTGGCGTGGGTTTTAAGCCACCAGGTCCGGGACGTGAACCATGGTCGACTACGTGGGAGTCCAGCGACATAGCCATTACACTAACTGCTGGTCCCTTTTGTTTTGTTCTTTAAATTTATTTCTTCCATGAGTGAGAGTGAACTCACATCTGCACACGCCTGGCACTACAGTCCACCCCCAGCTTTCAGCCTCAGGTCATGGTCAAGCATGTGCGCAGTCCTAGACTTTAACTGGGAACCCTGCCATGTGGGATTGCCTCACAGAGCATGTGTTTTACCACTGCACCACCGTCTGGCCTCCCACGTTTATTTTCTAATGTTGATTATTTTATATGGGGGTAGAGACATTTTTGAAAAGAATTTGGATTCTCTTTAGTGTTCAGCTTGCTAAAAAGTACTGAGTTTAATAATGTACAAGAAAGCACATCCTTTCAAAGACTGACTGATCCAGATCACTCTGAAATATAGAGCAGTTGTAGTATCATAGCCTTTTCTTTTATTTGTGTTAAGAATTTTGAGTTTTTAGAAGATTGATAAAGGCATATTTATTTCCTCTGTTCTTTAAATCACTACAGCAAATCAGCCAACACCAGGAGCATTTTATTCAGATGTTAAACGAACCAGTTCAAGAAGCTGGGGGTCAAGGAGGAGGAGGTGGCAGTGGCAGTGGAGGAATTGCAGAAGCTGGAAGTGGTCACATGAATTACATTCAAGTAACACCTCAGGAAAAAGAAGCTATAGAAAGGGTAAGTGAGTAAATCCAAAAAATTCACTTTCTTAGTTACATTAACCACGTTTCAGATACTCTCAGTAGTCAAGGAGCTCGTGGGTCACTATTGGCTAAAGAGGACAGAGAATTTTCATTGACTGGAGTGGGTTCTGTACAGAGCCACGTAGAGCATTGCCCTAGGGATTGCCGTACATGTAGTCTCTAATTTGCCCTCCTCCCCATCTTGTCCTGTGAAACCAGGAGACCAGTCATAAAGTACCAGTCTTGTATGAAACAGGCAGAAGTACATTAACTGACTAAAAGTGTTACTGATGTTTTAAAATTCAAGAAGATATCTTAAAACTATACACTCATGTTGTTCCCTTTTTTATTCATAGTTTCAATTTTGCCTGCCCTGTTTTACTAAACTACTAGGTTGGTGCAAAAGCAATTGCTGTTTTGGACCATGAATTTTAAATCATGACTAGGTTTTATGTGTGTGTTTATGTGTGTATGCATATTTGTGTACATATACAGAAGTTATATGTATATATAATTTTTTTTAAGGTTTTTGCTGTAGGGTACATGTGCTCACCTAAAGACAGAGAGAGGGAAAGTGAGAAATCACTGGCTGGGATGGATGGCTACTCTATATTCCCTTCTCCTCCATTCTCCTCTTGGGGTTTTGGGCGCACATACACATGTCCCTGGTGTGATTTTCAAGCCTCTAGGACTAGGGGCATGAACCACAGTCAGCCACGTGTGAATCCAGTGCCTTAATTATCATGCTACCTGCTTGTCCCTCAAATACATCTTTTTATTTATTTATTTTTTTTAAGAGAGACTTTTGCTATAGGGCACATGAGCTCCCTAGAGAAAGAGAAGGTGAGAAGGTGGTATGGCCACGCCACAGTCCCTTCTCTTCCATTCTCCTCTCCGGATTTTGGACACATGCATACAAGGCCAGCATGAGTTTTAATCCACCGGGTCCAGGACTCAAACCATAGTTGACTATGTGGGAGTTCAGCAACATTACTATTATACCACCGCTGGTCCCAAATACATCTTTATTACTCAAAATAGGAATCGTTACAGTCAACACATTTTAGCCAATGAGGAATAAGTTTGTTTATTGCTATAGCATAAAAATACATTACTTCATCTTTTCATGTTTTTCATTATTTTCCTTTTGGAAATAGCAACTATGTTGCAATAGGTTTTTAAAGTAGATTTCACCTTGTCTTTACCAAATCAGAAATAGTGTTAGGTTGCTGGTCAGGGCCACAGCAGTAAAATGCAGTGTTCTGTGAGACCAACCCAAATGGGAAGGTCTTGGGTTTGCATGTAGAGACTTCTGTGTGTATGCTGGGCACTCACATGAGCATGATCTGGGCTAACCAAAGCTAAGGGGTGGATTGCAACAATAGGACCTTGTTGAGTGTTTTGTGTCTGTCTCACTCTCTCATGAAATAAACTTTTTTTAAAGTTGTAAAAAATAAAACACATGCTTTGGGATTCAACAAACTCTTGGAAAGCATCTTTTGCGTTCTGCTGGTTGTGGAAGTGTTTCCCCTGCAAAAACTTGTTAAGATGCTTGAAGAGAAGTAGTCAGTTGGCAAGAGGTCAGGTGAATATGGTGAAGAAGGGAAACTTTGCAACCCAACTTGTTCAACTTTTGAAGCATTGGTTGTGCAATGTGTTGTTAAGCATTGTCTTAGAGAAGAATTGGGCCCTTTCTGTTGACTAATGCCAGCTGCAGGCTTTGAGTTTTGGGTGCATCTCATCAGTTTGCTGGGTATACTTCTTAGATGTAATGGTTTTGCTGGAATTCAGCAAGATGTAGTGGATCAGACCCACCAAGTAGTGACCGTGACCATGACCTTTTATGGTGCAAGTTTGGCTTTGGGAAGTGCTTTGCAGCTTCTCAGTCCAGTCACTGATCTGGCTATTGCCAGTTGTATAAAATCCACTTTTCATCACACATTACCAGCCAGTTGAGAAATGGTCCTTTGTTGTTTCATAGAATAAGAGAAGATGACACTTGAAAAAGACCTTTTTTTTTTTTAATTTTCAGTCAGCTTCTGGGGCACCCACTTTCCCAGCTTTTTCACCTTTCCAGTTTGCTTCAAATGCTGAACAACATAGAATGGTGGACATTGAGTTTTCCGCAACTATACGTTAGCTAGCTGTCAGAGGATCAGTTTGGATAATTGGTTTCAATTGGTTATTGTCTGCTTCTGATGGCCAGCCACTATGCTCACCTTGAAGGCTCTTGTCTCCTTTACAGAACTTCATAGTCCACCGCTGCACTGTATACTCATTAGCAGTTCCTGAGCCAATGAGTTGTTGATGTCGAAAGTTGTGTCTGCTTTACTTACTATCATTTTTATCTCAAATAAGAAAATTGCTTAGGGGCCAGCTGGTGGTATGGTGGTTGAGGCACTGTACTCTCGCATGACTGACTGAGTTCGAGTCCCAGATCTGGTTGCTTGCTTTCTCTCTTTTTCTGTCTCTCTCTCTCTATCTCTAGTGTGTGCACATGCCTGATAGCATATAAAAATATTTTAATAATAAAATGAAAATATTCTTTTTAAAACAGTAATTAAAAAAGAAATCGCTCAGATTTGCTTTTTGTCTTAACTTCATTTCCCTACTCTTAAAATACATAAAAATAAGTAAGAAGTCATTAAGAAAAAAAGTAAGAACTGCACATTAAAATGATGTATAATATAACATAACCACATTTATTTAAGAATCTATCCAATATCAAATGGCAAATTTCAAAAATGTGAAACCATGATTAGTTTTGAATCCATCTAATATAAAATAAACAAGCAGGAGAATTACGTAAGAATTATATACAGTAAACATCAGAACCTAACTTGCCTGATTCTTTTTCCACCCTTACCACATCAACCTGTGTAGGTCAGTGGCATTGCAATAACCTGGTTTTTATGACTTTTCTCCCTCATTTTTAACATTTGTAAACCAGGAATCAGAGTACTTGGCATGGTCATGACAAAGTGTTTTGAGATGGAAACCAAGATAAAGTGCATTTTGTCTTTACTTAGGAAGTCATCTGGACAACAATATATCCTTATTTGTGATATACAGGAGTATTCATAATTGTTTATGATTAAATATTTCCTAAAAGATTTTTATATACTGTGCTGATTTTTTTTTTCTCTTTAAATAACACAATGAGTAAATAACACCCCAATTGTTGTATAGTGACTATTTTTCTTTCAAGTCTGGGTTATCAGTTTCTGATTTCTGTATTGGGGGTATTTTTCTCTCTGTGCTTTTGGTCTCTTATTCAGGAATAACATTGCCTGATCCAAGATCACATGGTTTAGCACTTCTTCCTTTTCTTCTTCCTTTCTAAGAATTTATGGCTCTTACATGTAGGTTTTGTCTATTTTGACTTGGGCATGTGGGATCCAGTTCCTATAACCACTGGGCTATGGAGCTGGCCTTTTGTTCTTGATCTTAGAGGGAAAAATCAGTCATTACCATTAACTATGATGTTAGCTGTAGGTTTTCTTGCAGATGCCATTTATCAGATTGAGGAAGATCCCTTCTGTAACTGGTTGAGATTTTTTTGTTTTTGTTTTGTTGTTTTGTTTTGTTTTGTTTGAGAGGTTTTTGCTATAGGGCTCATGTGTTCGCCAGAAAGAGAGAGACAGAAAGCGAGAAATCACTCCCCAGGGGGTGTGGTCACACCGCAGTCCCTTCTCCTCTATTCTCTCGGTCACACATGCCATGGTGCTCAGTGTGAGTTTAAACCACCGGGTCTGAGACTCGAACCACAGTCGACTACATGAGAGTCCAGCGACATGTCCATTACATTACACCACCTTCTGATCCCAAGAATTATTTCATTTTACTTGTTACTATTATTTTTTAATTTGACCAGACAGAGAGAGAGGGAAAGCAAGAAAGCAAACTTCCTGGTCCAAGACTCGAACCATGGTCAGCTATGTGGAAGTCCAGCACCCCAAATATCATGCCACCTGCTGACCTCTCAGAAGATTTTCTAATTTCCCTTATGAGTTTTTGAACCATTAAAATTATTTAGGATTGTGTTAATTTCCACATATTTATGACTTTCCATATTCTTTTCTATCAGTATCTAAATTAATTATATGGTGGTCAGAACATACTATGTATAATTAAACTTACTGAGACCTATTTTATGGAGTCACAGGATCTTTCAGAAGAACGTTCATATATACTTGAGAGGCATAGTTAATCTGCTCTTGCTAAGTGTTCTGTAAAGGCCTGTTAGGTGTAGTTGGCATTGTCCACTTCTTTGGTTTCCTTGGTCTTCTGCAGAAGTGTTATTGAAAGTGGAAGTATTAAGTCTTCCCACAGTTACTGCTGAATCAATCAATCATTTTTCTCCTTTAGTTTTGTCAGTTTTTGTCTCACATATTTTAATGGCTCTGTTTATGTTCGTGATTGTGTTTTCCTAACCTTTTTAAGTTTTTTTTTTTATCATAGTGAGTGTTCTTTGTCTCTATTAACAGTTTTGACTTTAAGCATTATTTTGTCTGATACAGTACAGCCATTCCAGCTCTCTTGGTTACTGTTCGAATAGCATATATCTTTTTGTGTCCTTTTATATTCAGCATATTATGTCTTTGAATCTGAAGTATATGTCTTGTAGAAGTTGATAGTTGGATTGTGCCCTATCTTTTACTTCAACCAGTCTGCTTAAGACCTAGATCACAAACTTATTTTTGTGTTTCTTAATTTACCTTTCACAGATGAGTAGTTACTTAGGCTGAATTGAGATTTTTGCCCAATTTGTAGAAGACATTTCTATATGTAGTCTAACAGAAGGTGATTGGGACAATTGAGGATAGGATTTTTTTTTTTTTTTTTTTTGAGAGATTTTCACTATTGGGCGCGTGCACTTGCCAGACAGAGAGAGACATAGAGACAGAAAGCGAGAAATCACCCCCCAGGGGGGATGGTCACACCGCAATCCATTCTCCTCTTGGGATCTTGGGCACGCACGCACACGCGCCCAGCGTGAGTTTTAAGCCACCGGGTCCAGGACGCGAACTGCGGTCGACTACGTGGGAGTCCAGCGACATAGCCATTACACTAACTGCTGGTTCCTGAGGACAGGATATTTGTAAATAAAATTTGGCTGTCAAATAACAGTATCTAATGAGTGAGGTTCAAAGACTTTCAAAAGTAGTGTGGCATCATAAGAAATTCAATAGACTAGGAAAAGGAAATTAAGTTGCTGATACCACCATTTATAATGTTATAAATGTTATACAGATAAAAATAGCACATTGTATGTCTTGATTTCAAAATGCATCATAAAATGTTACTAATTATCACCTGTTTTTCTAGTATGAAGTGTTGAATAAGGTGAGATTAAGAGTGGTGTTTGATCCCATGTTTGAAAGACATAAGTTACTTTAACAAGTAAAACTTAATGTGTTTACAGATAATTAGGTGAAGTAGCTCAGTGCTTATTCTGGTGCTTTCATCCTTCCCTTTAGGCATACACTCAAAGCCATTTGGTTTACAAAACTTTGCAGGGTCATTTCTATTTAAACAACAACAGCTAGCACATAATTACTGCTGTTCATGATTGACAGTGCTCACATATCTTTTAGCCTAGTAGCTTTGACGAGAAGCAGAGATTTTTTTGAGCTGTAAAGGAAAGGTTCTAGGTTCCATCCTGCCCTTAGAGTTGGATAGTGAATCATATTCAGCTAGGGATGAATGCATACAAAATTCTCAAGAATTTTTTTGTGTTGTAGTGTCTTTTTTTTTAAAGAGAGGGAATTTTGCTATAGAGTGTGTGTACTCGCTGAAGAAACAGAGGGGCCGGCAGGTGGCGTGGTGGTGGTTAAGGGCACTGGACTCCCACATGGTCAATTGCAGTTCAAGTCTCGGACCTGGTAGGTCTCTTTCTCACTTTCCCTTTCTCTTTTTCTCTGTCTCTCTCTGATCAAACTGAAATATAATACTAATAATAAATAAAGTTAAATCAAAACTAATTTTTAAAAAAAAAAAAAAAAGGAAAGAAAGAAACAAAGAGAGACAGTGAGAAATCAGACCCTTGGGGGGATGGCCACTCCACCATCCTTTCTCCATTCTCCTCTCAGGATTTAGGGCAAGCATGCGCGCACATAAGCCACCAGGTCCAGGACTGGAACTGCTGTCGACCTCGTGGGAGTCCAGCAATGTAACCATTACGCTATCTGCTGGTCCCATTGTAGGATGTTTTTGAGTAATGATCTGTCCATAGTGTTGTGTTGGAATCCTTAACAAATAAAATCAAATGTGTCATAACTGGTGGGTCGAACTTACATATATTTTTTTCTTTTCTTCCAGTTAAAGGCATTAGGATTCCCTGAAGGACTTGTGATACAAGCATATTTTGCTTGTGAGAAGAATGAGAATTTGGCTGCCAATTTTCTTCTACAGCAGAACTTTGATGAAGATTGAAAGGGACTTTTTTTGTATCTCACACTTCACACCAGTGCATTACACTAACTTTGTTCACTGGATTGTCTGGGATGACTTGGGCTCATATCCACAATACTTGGTATAAGGTAGTAGATTGTTGGGGGGGAGGGGGGCTAGGATATAGGGCAGGGATAAATACAGTGCATGTCTGCTTCAAGTAGCAGATGCCGCAGATCCACACAGTGTAAAATACTATACAACCAAAAATCAGCTTTTGCAGATCTTTATTTCTTCTGTAAAACAGTAGGTAACTTTTCTTAGGTTTCACTCTTCTTAGTGTACTAGATCCAGAAATTTAGTGTAATGCCCTGCTTTATATTTCTTTGACTTAACATTGGTTTCAGAAAAAAAACAACAAAAAAAAAATCTTTGCTACCTAGAATTTAAAGTCTCTGTTTCATGGCAACACTGGATAATGGCTTTGTGAAATTGAGAATAGTTTTGGAGCAACTGTAAAAAGAAATGCCAAATTATTGATGGTTATTGCTGCCTCACAGAAGTATGAAATTAATGTGTAAGAAAGCCCATTCTTTCATGTTAAATACTTGGGGTAGGGGAGGGGAGAAAGGGAACTTTTTCTTAAAAATGAAAATAATTTCTGCTCTTTTAAAATTTCTTGATCATTGAATGTGAGACCCTTCTAACATGATTTGAGAAGCTGTACAAGTACAGGCAGAGTTATTTTCCTGTTTACATTTTTTTGTTTTGGGGAAAATTGGTAGGTGTCTAATTACTGTTTACTTCATTGTTATATTGCAGTAAAAGTTTTAAAAACAACCATTGCATGTTTGCTTTTGATGTATCCCTTTGTGAAATTAGCACTTTGGGGGCCAATGGAGAAATGCAGCCTTCCCTCTCCCTCTCCTCCCCTTTCCTAAGCAGAAGTGTGTTTTCAGCAAGTCATGAGTCAAACTGCTGCCTTTTAAAAAAACCTAAGATGCTGATGCAGTTAAAAAATAATGCAGATGTTTTGAAACTGGGTTTCTGATATTTGTAAATGTTTTTCTTTATTAGATAAGAATGTATTACCATTAAAGTCATTGGTACTAATGCTTCAAAAGAGAAAGTAGAACTATAATCCAGTATCTTTTATTACATTGGAAAGACTGGCGAAATCTTTTGGAGGGGTTGGGAGATACGGCTGGAAAAGTACTTTGGGAAATATGCAGTCAAGATATGGCATATTAAAAGAAAAATCTTAATTAGCAGTGTTGGCTTTTATTTAGCTTCTTTTTGCATTTCATTTTTTTTTTAATTTCCTTCATTGGCATTGTTACTTCATCATATAAAGAGGGGCAGATGTCTGCTTGTTCAGTTTTTCAAATCTGTTTTCTTGAATATAAACGAGACTAAAATAATATTTTTTTAACCATCCAATACAAGTAAGAAGATGGATTTGCACAGGTTTCTCCCTGCATAATCTCTTACAATATCCTCAGCACAGTTTGGTGATGACTTTTAAGCTTTTACGTCATGCACTCGTAGCCTATCTCTTATGAAAATAAATGAAACCATGATTTTCCATCTCAATGTTATCATGTTTAATTTTCATGTGTTTATTCCATAAACGTGACGAGCCTTTTGAACTCTGTATTGCCTATATGTTTTGTAACAGATCGTGCATAATCTCAGGAGAACAAAATGAGAATTCCAAAATACGTTCATCATTCAAGGCAGAGAAATGAGTTGGAAAGTGGCCGGCGTTTCTGGTCAGATAATGAAATACTGTCATTTATCTGCTGCCTTATTGCTCAGTATAGTGAAAACTGGGAATAGGGGGGAAAGAAAAACCAGCAGCAGCTGTTTTTCTCTGAAAAGTGACAGCAGAAGTTGTTGGCTGGAGCTTTTGTCCTTGGGGATTAATAATTAGCAAAAGACAGCTTGGGCCAAGTTCTCAGCATTCTTTACAGTACCATGTGTATCTGTTTCTCAGAGAATCAGCTGAAACACTATAGAAGAAATGGGCTTTTTGTGCCTTTTGTTGTTATTGTTTAATTTACAGTTTTGGTAAATCTCTTAATGTAAGTGGCTATTTGACTTTGGAATTTTGCACTTGAGGTATACTGTCATCTCTTTCTTGAAATATTTTTTATTGTTTAGTTGCTCTGTGAAAAATGGGAGGAAGCTTAAGTTTATATTTGTAAGATTCTTATGCCATTCTCTGATAAAATATTTCTCTTCATTGTTTAAAAATACTGAAGTGTTCCACCATATGATTTTTTTCCTGTATTACTAGATGAGTAGGATCCTAGAGAATTAATTATAAAATATTTTCAATATATCCAACATTGCATCTCTCATTTTTTAAGCGATTCTGTCACATAGAATCTTTGATTAAAAGTTGACAGTGCCTCTATCACCAATCCTGTTTTCTTTAGTACTTGGTGAATGTAGCATATGGGAGACCAGGAACTACTGATAGATCGGTTTCATTGGGTCTCCTCGTTCTGTTCTTGACAGCAAACACATCAACACAGCAGTGGGAGTTCTTGATGGGTATAAGGCAAGGTTTAGGAGAGCATTTTAAGAGATCACGATAGCATTTTTAAAAAATAAAATATTATATGTATCATAGCAGCCAACCTAAGACTACTATTGAAGATTGACCCCAGAGTAAGCTAGTTCAGGGACTGAGTGCTTCTGAACCAAGTGTTGTGGGTGGGTTCCCCAGCTGTGAGGTTGTAAAACACATCCTTTCAGTTACCCCTGCCTGTCCACTTTCCACTGTTTCTGAGCCACGGACTAGCAAACTACAGCCTCATGAGCTGTATCTGGCTTACCACCTTTTATATGGGTCTTGAGCTAACAATAGTCTCTACATTTGAAAATACTTTTTTGTTTTTAATGTTACATAAAAAGTCTGGCTCACATTTTAGTGTCCATAGGAGACTAGCCACACTTACTTATTTGCATGTTGTCTGTAGCCACACTTGTGCTAAAAAGGTGTACTGTTGAATAGTTGGGTCAGAAGCCTGCAAAGCCTAAATATTTACTACTTGCCCCAAACAGAACAAGTTTGCCACCCCTGTTCTAAACTTACTAGACCATCATAAATTATGATGACTTTTATTTCTTGGCATTCTTGGACACTTGAGGTCTTCTCTAGTTTGGTTTCCAGGCAACCATAAAAACCTTTTCCAGAGGAACAATATCACCCCCAGTATCTCCAGTCTCGGAGGAAAGCACCTTGTATACCTTATGTGCTAGCCTAGTGGGTCCCAATCAGTACTTTGAAACCATCCTTTGCTCTTGCTACATTATTTCTTGCTTTTACAGTAAGATAATGAGATTCCATACAGAGCACCTTGTCAGAAACACCTGGCATAAGGAAACCCTGGGGTCCTGGGATCAGGGCTGGGGCGGTTGGAGGAGGCATCTTAACCAGAGCTGAAAGGCAAGAGTGGGTGGAACTTATAGAAAGGAGAATAGCATCGTACCTGTTTAGGTTCCAGGGTAGTTTCCAGAACTATGTCGGCTTGCTTTGGGGAGGAGAGGATGGGTAAAGCAGTGATAGGCAGGGAGTGAAAGGTTGCTGGAAGAACGATGCAGCACTTTGAGTGTTTGGGGACTGCAAAGATAGTGGGAAGGAATGGAGAATAGGTTGTGCAGAGCCTTCCCTACCATGGTGTCACTAGATTTAAAAAGCCATCATCCCTCAAGTAGGGTTTTCTCAGACAGGAAGGTGGAAGACTAAAATTTGCTTCATGTGTGGTGACTCACATTTGTGTTGCCGTGGCTACTGCAGTGGTCACTGTCATACCGTGACAGAGGCCTCCTTAATACAGACTCCTCGCCTAATGACAGTTCTGTTTCTATGACTAGGTCATCAAGAGAATCGGTCAATAGGCAAGGAGCTTAGAGGTGGATGTCTTGTGGTGTGTCTTGGTGCCGTAAGGTATGTATTATTCAGTAGATATCCTGTAACACCACACCAGAATAATTCATTTTATCTATGTGTTAATAAAGTGCATACATTAATTGTCAGAAAGCAACAAGGCACACCGCAACAAGATTATACAAATCCAGTTTAATTGTTTTCATTCTGAATACTGCTATGGATGCACAATAAAGTATACATTTATAAACCAGGGATGTAGTCTTGCGTGATTGCAAATGCATCGTGTAGTGAATACTAACCACCTGCGGGAACAGCACCAAGACTGAGAAAGGGGAGTCTCCATGCTGGAGGATGGGTCGTTAGTCCAAGCTGTTACTAAACAGGTAGGTCAAAAGCGAGGAGTGGCTGTAGTGACAGGACCTGGCTAGTCTTAATAGCACAGTGGTTATTGCTGAGCATAGAAAGCTGGGTCTCACATAGCTGACCTTAAGGTTAGAATCCCAGCACTAGAGGCCTAAATAAATCGCCTGTGTGGGAACCAGCAGTTAGTGTAATGGCTATGTCGCTGAACTCCCACATAGTCGAACGCGGTTCGTATCCTAGACCCAGTGGCTTAAAACTCAGGCCGGGTGCGTGTGCGTGCGTGCCCAAGATCCCAAGAGGAGAATGGAGGAGAAGGGATTGTGGTGTGACCATCCCCCCGGGGGGTGATTTCTCGTGTTCTGTTTCTATGTCTCTCTCTCTCTGTCTGGCGAGCACACATGCCTTATAGCGAAAACCTCCAAAAAAAAAATTGCCTGTGACCTACCTACCTACTTAGTTATTATTTCATTTGACCAGAGAGAGTCAGAGGGAAAGTGAGAAAGCAAGCTTCCAGATCCGGGATTCAACTGTTGTCTACCATATGGGAGTCCAGTGCCTTAACCACCTCACCACCTGCCAGCCCCTATCCAAATTCTAACGTGATGGAGAAAAGATTGCAGTGTGAGCACACCTCATTGTGGGGAGTGCTCGGTCTCTCTCACTCTTGTGAGCACATGCACCGTCTGGCAATATAAAAATAAACATGATGGATCCTTTTAACAGGACCAACCCAACTTCCAGGAGCACAGATTAGTAATCACTCTGCATCCTATCTCAGTGGAACGTTCTATTCTTATGCATTTGATCCAGATCCTCCTTCCTATTCACAGCTTCTCAGCATGTAGAGAGTGATTTTTCTAGCCCATGAGGTGATCTTTGGGGCAGCTGGGGAACCTGACCTTAGTCCTAACTCCTCATTTGTTTTCCCTAGTGTACAAATACTCTTTGCCATGGTGACAGTTGGGAAGTTTTACCCTATACTTTCCATTAGCTTTCCAGATGGCCTTTGTGTAAGCCAGGGTTCTCCAGAGAAACAAACCGGGTGAGTTGTTTGTGCACAGTAGCAGGTTAGGACTCTAGGCCGCATATCTCAACCAGCAGGAACCTTGCTGAGAATGTATGGTTGGTGGTGGGAATATGTTTTAAAAGAGCATAGAGGTTTTTTTTTTTTTTAAGAACTTTATTTCTTTATTTAGAGAGGTTTTTGCTAGAGGGCATGTGTGCTCGCCAGAAAGAGAATGAGACAGAAAGTGAGAAATCACCCCCCAGGGGGGATAGCCATGCCGCAATCCCTTCTCCTCCATTCTCCTCTCGGGATCTTGGGCACACATGCACATGCGCCTAGCGTGAGTTTAAGCCACTGGGTCCGGGACACGAACCACGGTCAACTGCATGGGAGTCCAGCGACATAGCCATTACACTAACTGCTGGTCCCTTATTCATTTATTTTAATTTGACCAGAGAAAAAAGTAATGGAATGCTTCACGAACTTGCGTGTCATCCTTGCGCAGGGCTGTGTTAATCTCTGTATCGTTCCAATTTTAGTATATGTGCTGCTGAAGCAAGCACTGTTTTTGTTTTCTTTGAGAGATCTTTGCTATAGGATGTATGCAATCCCTGGAGAGAGAAAGCATCCCCCGGGGGAGATGGCCATGCTGCAATCCCTTCATTCTCCTTGGGATTTGGGGTATGCATGCACACGTACCCAACTTGAGTTTTAAGCTTCTGGGTCCATCTAGGAAGCAAACTGCAGTTGACTACGTGGGAGTCCAGCAACATAACTATTATGCCATCTATTGGTCCCAGGAGTTGGGGTTCTTGATTATTGAATGATTGTATGAACCTTGGCATGATATCACTTTTTAGCGTTTTAGTTTGTTTTTTCTTATTTACAAATTGCTTTAAGCCTATCTCTGGCAGCATTTTTTTTTTTTTTAAAGAATTACTTTATTTGTTTTATTTTGACCAGAGAGAGAGAGAGAAAGCAATCACTTTAACCACTTGAGAAAGGTTGGTCTGGCAGGCTTCTCCACTCCGAAGTTGTTCTTTGTCTCTCCCTATTTATTATTTATATGGAGAGCTATTTGAATCTTAATCTTAATTTGAATCTATAGGCTATATCTTCTCAAAATTTTGCCTGTTGTTTTTAGATTTTTGCCATAGGGCACATGTACTCCCTGGAGAGAGAGAGAGAAAAAGTAAGAAATCACTCCAACTTGGAGGGGTGGGGGATAGCCACTCTACGATCTTCAGCATTCTCCTCTCGGGGTTTTTGGCATGCACACACATGCACCTGGTGTAAATTTTAATCTGCTGGGTCCAGTCAAACCACAGGCGACTGCACGGGAGTCCAGAGATGCAACCATTATGCCATATGCTGCTCCCTCTTTTTTTTTTTTTTTCCTAAGAGTTTTGCTTTTTAGGGCTCATGCTTTCGCCAGAGAGTCTTACAGACAGTGAAAGGAAAAGCAAGAAATTATCCCCCAGTGGAGATGACTATACTACAGTCCCTCCTCCATTCTCCTCCCCGGATCTTGGGTATGCACACATATGCGCCTGGCCTGAGTTTCAAGCCACCAGGTCCAGGACTCAAACAGGTCAGCCATGTGGGAGTCCAAAGATGTAACCACTACACCATCTGCTGGCCCTGCTCAGTGCTGCTTATAGCTGAGAAATATTCAGTGGTATATATGTGCCACATGGATGTGCAAGTGTCCTTGACTTCCTATCCTTTGGGTGAGTACCAAGCAGTGGAATTACTGGCAATGTCTTTACTTCCTGGCACAGTAATATAGTCCAGGCCCTTGTATTTGTGTGCCCCAGCCCAAGTCAGCTCCCTCTGGCTTGCTGTAATGGAGATGGTGTTTAAAACCCTCACCTTACTCCACTCATGGCTTCTGGCATCTCACTGCTCTCAAGGCATCCCAGTGGACACACATTGACCTACTAGCTAAATCAAAACCACAGGGTTCATCCTAACTTCTCCCTTTCTAATTCCTTTCTTGGACAGTGAGAAACTTGGCTCCCAATCCTTAATACACTTTTTCTTTCTTTTTTTCTTTTGTAGAGGTTTTAGCAATAGGGTGTGTGCACTTGCCAGAAAGACAGAGATAGAAAGACAGAAAGTGAGCAATCACACCCCACCCCCACCCCCCCAAGGCGGATGGCCATGCCACAATCCCTTCTCCATTCTCCTTTTGGGATCTTGGGCACACACATGCACCCGGTGTGAGTGTAAGCCACTGGGTTCAGGACTCACTGCAGTTGACTACATGAGAGTTCAGCAATAGCCATTATGCCAACTGCTGGTCGCATACTTTTTTTAATTTTTTATTAATAAAAATGTGCTATAGGGTAAGTGCACTGACTAGAGAGAGACAGAAAGAGGGAAAGTGAGAAACATCTCCCAGGGATGGCTACACCACAGTTCCTTCTCCATGCTCCTCTTAGAATTTGGGGCATGCATACTCGTACGCCTGGCATGTTTTTCAAACCAGAGAGTCCAGGACTGGAACCACGTTGCTGGCTATGTGGGATCCAGCTGCCTTAACCACCATGCCACTCAATATATTCTCAACTTCTCTGGCCATAGCCAGTCCCTTTAGCACTCAGCTGCCTTTCTGTTTGGATGAGCTGCCATCCATGAGGTCACTTTTCTTGTAAAGTGGAAATGTTGTTATTTCAAAGGTTGATTTTCATTGGTTCAGTGGAGGTGAAATGTGTTTAGAGAACTTTTTTTTAATTGCCAGAGGGAATATTCACTTGCCAAAGACCTGAGAGGTAGAGAAAGCACCCCCCGTGGGGCATGGTTATGCTGGAATCCCTTCTCTACTTCTCCATCCTGTTGGGACTTGGGACATGTATGCATATGCACCTGGAGCATTTTGTGAGCCAGTAGGGCCGAGATTCAAACCGTGGTTGGCCATGTGGAATCCAGCTCCCTTAACCACTAGGTTGTGAGGCTGGCCCTAGATCACTTAGCAGTCCTGTAGTGGTGTTCCTGTCTATGGGAAAGGAAAGGCCTTATGTATTTTGCTCCATCTTCTGTACCGATAGGTTCCCTCCTGCTTGGCTTTTGGAACCACTGTGTTCTAGGTGCTATGGGGGTGAGGGAGATGGCAAATCAGTGGTGTGAAATGCAGCCCCATGGGCTGGATTAGTCCTGTCCTCCCCTCATCCTACTCCCCCAAAAAAGCATTGTGCTTAGTCACCTCTTTCTTGGAGCAGGAAGCTTCTCTGATTCATCTAGTAGGCCATAGTGAACAGTCATGGTAAGCCACATGGTTAGGAATTGTTCCCACTTCCTTTATCTTGCTAATATCTCTGTATTCCGAAAAAACCTGTGTCCCTCCTCCAGGAAGCCTTCCCTTTTACCTCTGGTTTGAGCCAGGGACCTCTCCTCTGTTCCCTCAGCAGCTTGTAAAAATCTGCAGAAGTGGAATTCCTGAATTGGACTGTCGTGTTTGTTGTATCACTTATTACAGTAAAGCAGCAGGTGAAAGGGCGCCTGGTGAGCTCTTTGAGGTTCAGGATTGTGCCTTTCGTCTCTGTCCCCAAAACCCCGTGCAAGACTGGACAAAAGACAGGCTGAGGTAATACTGGATATAGAAAGAGACCATGAACACATACATAGGTGGGCCACTTAGGTCATCTCTCCTGTGGCCCCAGGCACTCTGTTTACCTGTCTGCCACCCCTTTGAATCTGAAAGCCAACTTAGAACTTGAGAGATAATGACCAGGGCCCCATGGGCTGCTCTGTTTTTTTCTTCCTCAGCCCCAGGGCCCTTTGCACCACATTTTGAAAGACTTGACTGTCAAACAGCAAGCTGGCAGCTTAAAGAAGCCAGATTCTGTTGACAAATTCCAGATGGGTGTGCACCCAAGATTCAGATGGAAAGCAGACCAGCAGCTGCATTCCCAGGAGACCCGTGCTGAGGCCAGGCAGGGGGCTTGGGGTTGGGAACTTGGAGGCTTTAAGTTTTTCTTTTTTTATTTGCTACACCATGCTTTTACTCTCTGGACAGAGTCAGAGAGAAAAAGTGAAAGAGTGCCCCCAGGGGGTTGACCATGCAGTAATCCCTTTTTCTTTCAGGATTTTGGGCATGCACATGCACCCAGTGTTTTCCTGGGCCACCAGGTCCAGACCCAAACTGAGTCAAACATGAATACCAGTCCCCTTAACCACCACACCACCCTGGCTGACCCTTAAGTTTTTCTTGAGAGGAGAGAGAGAACCCCTCAACAGGGTCTTGCCTCACTGCAATCCTTCCTCCAAGCTGACCTTGGATCCAAACCGGGGCCTCCCAGTGTCTCTCCACTGTGGCGGGGCCTGCGCCTGGACTTCTGTCTTCACACTCCCCAGCAGCTTTCTGACCTCAGTTAAGTGCTCTGGTTTTCTTATCTGTAAGATCAGTCAAGCACTGGGACCTGCCCTGGTGGAGGCTGAGGGAGTGTGGATAGGAGAGTGTCGTTCCGAAGGCCGTTCCAAAGGCCGGGCCTTTTTCGAAGCAATGCTCACTGCCTACCCTAAAGCCAAAGCCAGTCTGTAGAGAAGCTCTTCACCTTCTCCACAGTGAGAGGGTCACTGCAAGAGGGCCGAGCAGTGGCTGAGTTACTTATGGGAGCGCAAAGTGGCCTCTTGAGTCATGGTGCCTTGGCCTCCCTGCTTGGCTTCCCACAGTTTGACCCTCAGAGTACCAGGGAATGAGGGGCTTTCCACCTGGCCAGGCAGCACAGTCCAGGCACTGGGCATTTCAGGGACAGAACATTTGGTTTCTGTGACCTGTTTTGAGCAATGCTGTGTTTCTCTGGGTCTGTCTAGGTCAGAGGACTGGCAGCTAACTACATCCCACCTCCAGGTTGGATTCATGGAGAACCCAGCAAATCAGCCTGACCAAACACCCACGGCTCCTTCCGCCTGTCTCAGGACCATCTTTCCCATCTCCTTGTTTTCTTTCTTTTCCTCTGAGAGCCTTTTTAGTCAGCTAGAAGTATAGGACTCAGATCTGGGAAGAGTGTGTGGGTGTCATGGCTGATGGACCCCCAGCCTCGCTCAGGCATGACCTCCGGCCTCCATTTGAATGCTCTGGTGACTGGGCTCACTCCTACCAGCGCAGCCTCAGATGCCAGATGCCCCAGTGATTGAAGAGCCACCCCATCAGCTTCCCCTCTGTGTCTGTAGTGGCCTTCCTCAGGCCTCAGCTCACGTCTAGGGCACCCTGAGACAATTCCACCTCTTCCCTACAGCAACCCTTCAGTTTCAGACAGTGAGTGCATCTCTCCCTGATTACCTCCCACCCTCTGGCCACTCCCCCACCCCCTTTTTAAATTTGCTATAGGGTGCCTATACACTCTGGAGGCAGAGAGAGAAAGTGAGAAAGCACCCCCCAGGGGGGATGGCCACACCACAGTCCCCTCTATTTCTCCCTCCTGTTGAGACTTTGGACATGTATGCACACTCACCCGGCATGTTTTTCAAGCCTCTGGGTCCAGTTCCTGAACTGTGCAATGGGCCATGTGGGCTCTAGTTATCTCTTATTTTTTTTAAAGAGAGATTATTATTATTATTA